CATGGCTGGCTGGGGAATTCTGGGAGTTGAAGTCCACTCATCTTAAAGTGGCCAAGTTTGGACAACACTGCCTTAGATCATCACATTAAACTGAACACAGCAAACCAGTCACATCTCCTCCTCCCCCAGCATGCATTTCCCACCTCCACTCCTCTGAAAGTATCCCAAATGCCATGCCATACCTGAGCTACCACAAGTTAGTAGTGGTTTGTTAGTTGATTTGTAGTGCCCAGGAGAGTTTAGTGCATTGCTACAGGACCCTGTGTCTGTATTCAAGTTATGCACACTTGGAGACGCCAACGGACTGCAATACAGGGATTTCCACCTACTGGCTAAAGGAAAATACAAGAAAGCCATGAATTGTTACCACGTTAAACGCAGATACTCAGAGGAGGAGAGAGAGGAGGAGAGCATATCAAACTACATCTGCATGCATGACATGCCAGACACACTCACCCCCTGAGTCATGATACAAACCAATAAATTCAATTTCCAATTATGGCTGACAGTTTAATGTCTGGAATTAAAACAAATGAAGACAATGCTTAGTTCTCCGTGTGCTGTTCTTTTCCTGGCTTAACATTTGGGACTCGCAAGTGTCAGACTAATATAGGCTGCTGTATGAACTTACAATGTCCACCTTGGACATACTTGATCAGTTTGAAGTGCTACAGTGAACACTGAAAGAGGAGCTGTGGTTCTTCTCTACAGCTTTCCAGATAACAGACTGGCCAGATGAGAAGATATCCAGTATTATGGCATTTCTCTCCACTGAAGAAATGCAGTTTTCCATCTCTCAACTCATCCTGGAAGTGTGGCTGTACATAACTTGTAAGTTTCCCAGGTGGACAATTCTGGATGAGGAACAGGCAAGCTTTGTTCAGAGCAACTATAATGGAATTAATGTTTATGTTACTGAAATCTACTCTAAGCAGCAAAGAATATATTCCCTCCAGCCAATACGATTTTAGAGATACTAATGTTGTATGTCAAGAATGTTCAGCATGAATCAGGTATTTCAGGAGGCACTGGGGACAGATACAGGTAGCATGATCTAATGAAAATGTTATCTGGTGGGAAAACTGTTCTGGGCCCATTTCTCAAAATGCTTCCTTAAAGCACTTTAATTTAATTGTTTTGGGAGGCTGGCTAGATATGATGGAACTGTAAAATCATAGCATGAAGAACCCAAAAATACTTGGTACAGAACCATGAAAACCAAATAAAGATTTTCCATCATTATCCAAGACTGAGATTTAACACAATACTGAAAACGAAAAAGGGGGTGGCATTATTAATGAGAAACAATCATTTTATTCTGAACCACCTTGTCCTCCAAATCATGTAACTCAGGGCTTTATCTCATATATCATAGGCAGTTAGATTCTCTGAAAACTCACTGAAGGAGTAAAACAATAAACAGTGTAACTTCATTTTCTCCCACATTTATATTAATTCTAGGAACTGTTGACAAGCTTATTTAAATAGCTGACAAAGTTACTAACCTGTTAAAGTTGTTACAATATTCAACTTAAAGAGGGCAGAGAACATTCTCCTACTAGGGCTTCTCAGCCAAAGGAGCAGGTAAACTCTCTAGCTTATGGCAAACCTAGAAGTAGGCATGAAAGCCGGCTGGGTGATTTTGGGCTAGTCGCCCTCTCTCAACTCAACCTACCTCACAGGGGTGTTGTTGGGAGGAAAAGAGGAGGCAGGAGCATAATGTAGTCTGTCTTGAGTTGTACAAAATAAAGGTGGGAAATAGATCTAATAATCACAACAATTTCAGCGATACCCCACCTAGCCATTTGGTATAATGTAATTTGGGTTTGAACTGCCTTAAGCAAATGCAAAAAAGCAAAACACAATGCCATGATTTCAAGGCGTTATAACTGAACTCATTATCTGAAAATGCACAATCCAATTCACGTTTCTCAGGTCTTCTCCATACCTCCATTATTCCATATTCTTTAAAAGTACAGTAACAAGCTAAACGATACTATTTCAATCTACTGCTGCCTCGGCGATCACCCGAGGGCCCTTTCAAGACCATCCGTGGGCCTACCTTGGTCAAGTCTGCTGATGAGGCTACGGCACGTTGCCTCTGTCTCAGGACTAGGGTGATCCAATACCTGTCTACACCATTTCAGGGGGGATTCCTTTCCATCTGTTGGTGGTTTCCTTGGAGAAACATACAACCTTAAGTGGAAAGACAAAAAGGTTAACATGGCAGCTCAGCATCCAGCCATTACCTTACAGACTGGAGTAACTATTTCAGTATCTCTAAGCTTGCACTGGTATTTTATCAACAAAGGTCTAACACTATAGCAAAGAAAGGGATACAGCAAGTTTTTGCCTTTCTTAACTATCTGTGGTTAAGACAAGAAGATGACTTTCATTTTTAAGATGGATCCAAATTAGAATAATAAGACATTCTTTATCCAATGGTGAAATTATCTCTCTATCCTACTTTCTCATTAGTCTATTTCACTCTTTCACATACATAATTGTTGGCTAAGAAAATAATCAGTGGCAGAAGAAACATTTTAACTTTTGTGTAAAACAATGATTGGGGATAATAATGTAACATTTCTTCAGTTTTCAAGATCCAGTGTTAATTAAACTAGACTACCTATCTAGGTAAATACAATACTTGCAGTTTTCACAAAAACTGATCAAGGAACTGATCCTCCAAATAATTTTCTCATATTATGAAGTGAATCTCTATAGCAGAGGTACACAAACTGTAGCCTCCACCACCATGGATCCTTCCCCCAGAACCTCTCCAAAAGTTGTCACCAATGGTAATTTAAAATGTAATAGAAAATATAGGATTAATAAGATATAATCATGTTAAGCTTATTTAATTCTTTAAAATATTCTGCCCCATCTACCTTTTTCAAGTATAACCCTCCCCCCGCCGTTTATCTCCACTGCCGAAAAAAAGAATTGAGTCCTCTCTTTTGCCCAATCCAATTATTTCTTCAATAACAAGCTTAAGGAAAGATTACTTAAGGAATTATTGCTTAAGGTGACCTCACATCCTACATTTAGCTATGTGTACAGATAAACTATTATGCAAATGCCTATACTATTAATAGAACTACAATTGGCAATAGTCTCCTCTACGTTTGGCAATCTCTTATGAGAAAAGCAGCTGCAGCTCTCTAAACAGAAATATAGGCTTCCTGCTCTTCCATACTTTTTTCTATTCCAATCTGCTTCTCTTAAATGATTTAGACAAGAGCTTGTTACAAATTGATCCTCTTCCTTTCACATTGATCTGTCCATTTTCCCATCACACTGCTGAGTTCACTGATGCTTTTGGGGACCGGGGGGCTCAATTTCTACTTTTGCTTTCATTTCACACTTTGGAAAACTGTTGACAAAAACTAAAGCAGTTTGGTTTAATCTCTTTGGATATGAGTTAAACCTTGACTCCTTATCTCAAGACAAAAAGAAACAAATAACAATCTGCTCCCAAAAAATATGATAGCCTTATTCCCTCTTAGCATGAATCCTTTTGAACTACAATATGGTAATCTCATAGTACATACCAGCTGTCCTCTTCATCACTGCCATTCTCTAACTCTAGCAATTCTACTTCATCCAGAGCTGTCTCGTTCAAGAGATCTTCTGCATTTGTATTTGCTTCCTTCATTTTCAATGCTGGCTCATCACCTGTGGTGAAACCTTCTAGCAGCACTGTGTGGCTGCAATCCCAATGAGAGAAATCATTTGTGTGAGCATCGCTGTTCTGCATCTGAGTAGTACTCATAAACTTTGCACTAGAAGGCTCTTTGTCAGAACTATTGCCACAGCTGTGTTGTATTGTAGTCTCTACATCCTTTTTCAAGAACTCACCACTTTCCTCTGCTTCTGATCTTATTTTACTCAGGGCAGAATGGAGGTCTGCCACTATTTGCAATTCCTGCTTATCCATAAGTACATTGATGCTATTATTCATTTCCATGCCACTGAGCCTGGAATTGCAATTATCCACGCCACCATCAGCTTGGCTCAGCATTTTTGCCTCTGGCACACTTCGAAGGCTTCTAGTTCTCAACTGCTGATTCTGGAGCTCAAGTCTCCTCACAAGTTCCTGCAATTTCCTCACTTCTTCCAGCTCAGGGCCCACCTGATCACCCATTGGTTCTGCATCAGGACCCATCACCGAGTTCTCTGCTGAGCTTCGGCTCAGTTCAGTTCCAAGATTGTGGTCTGGCTGAATTACAGTGGTGCTCCCAGGAACAACCATCTTCGTGGAACCCCTGAGGAATTTTGCTAGAAAAAGATATTATAGAAGATGGATATTAAAGAAGCAGTGAAACCACTTAAACTATCAGCTTTCCTACTAATTAAATGTATTCAGTGTGATGATACATCAAGAATGCCTTAGTGAATCTAAAAGCAATTCATCTCCAGGAATAGCATGTTTTATTTACACTGGATATCTTGACATGGTCAATGCTTCCTCAGTATAAGCAGTAACTGTAACGACTGCTGTAAGATACATGACTAATCTGCACCTACTACATAAGTAGACATTTATAATTAGTATTTGTAAAGTAAAAAATCTTCCCAACTCCACCTGGAGCTCCCCATATAGAAGCAGTTTCAACAGAAGCTTTTGTTTGGAAAGGTCATCTAGCACACAGTACAGCTTTCTTAAATATTACTGGTCTAAAATTCAGAGACAAGTTTTGCCTAGATCTGTACAAAAAGAAAGATTCAGAGATTAAAGATCTGAAAGAAAAACATATTACTGCAGTTCCCATATAGTGGCCAGTAGTTGCAACACTACCATTTTGAAAGGTTAAAAATTGATGTAAGAAAAACTGAGCATTTCACTCATTAAACACAGACTGTGAAAATGTGTCTCCCCCTCCCCCACATGCTCAATTATAAATGTATTTCTGCAGGCTTTGATAAGAAAATAAAATCCAAGATCAACAGCAGTTTAGTGGCTTGGGACCAGAAACCAAAGATTTTGCTTAACAAAGTCTGATGAATCAGGCGGCCTATACATTATTGTAATAAAATAAATATGACATAAATATATACATAGTTTGGGAGGGTAGCTTTAACATAGAGTATTTTAGACTTCACCACAGCTCAGTACTTATTTAGAGAATAGTGACACTGGGAAGAACATGTATGGAATCTCTTTTCTTGATTAATAGTAAACCAAGTATACATAGAATGATACAAACAAGGGCACTACCAATATTTTATTACCCCACTTTATATGCTATGCACCAAAAATGAAGAAAAACCAAAGTAACAATGCAGGTACCTATTTCCTATATCATTTCCGTGCTAAATGGGACTTAACACAAATAATATTGTTGGTGATTTAAAACTGTTGCTCAAATTTTCAAGTCTTGCAAAACAAAATGAATCTTTAAATTCCTAGGTATCTCCTGCACTAAAACTCAATGTAATTTCAAATTGTGCCTCATCTGCAAGGCAAAATAGAAAAGTCCATCACCTCATATTCTGAGATTCAAACTCTGCATAGAGTAAGCAGCAATACAAGAAATAATACTGAGATAATTTTGGTTCAGAGATCAAAGGAGGAGAAAGTACCCTTTCAACAGTCTTTCTAATCTAATTCCTAGTCACTAAATGATTTTCCCCTTAAGAGTCTAGTGTAGTATAGTAACCCTATAATCTAAGTCAGATTACATGATCAATCCACAAGAAAATAACAATGTTCTATGGAATGGCTTTTTCTAAAAAGAATAAAATTACTGAAATGAAACTGTAGCAACTCTCACCAGACATGGTAAGTTCTCTTATTGCCACATATCTTCAGAGACGAATCTTGGATCTCATTTTTGCATCAAGACAAATCTATAAACAGGTCTATGTTACTCAACACGAATTACACCCCCCACAAGTTTTAAAAGAGTCTCCTTTTATTAAATCGATTTACAAGACTGGCGCCAACTAAAAAATACAATGAAAATGTACTATCATGTTTCACCTACAATTTCTGATCCTGTTTCAAGCAGATTGCTGCAGTCAAACAACCTGTCCACAAGTACTGCTGCGTAACAGCAACCGAAAGCTCAGCGTTCCAGCCTCCACCACCTTCAGCCGTTCAAAAGAGTAAATTCTTACCGGCGCATCTGTCAAACACGACCACAGCAACAGATCCACCCTCTCAGTGGATGACCTCACAGCCCAAGGCATCAGGAGTCGCATGGGGCTGAGGAGGAGGAGGATGTGCGCAGTGCCACCGCAACAGGGAGAAAAAAGAAAATAATACATAAAGGACTATGTTACCACCAGTAGCTGCTATGCAGACATTTCCCCCCCCCTTCAGTTAGGGAAAAAGGTGCCCAGATCCGTCTCTCCAAAAAAGTCAGGTGTCGCAAAGAGGAAAAGGGGAACACGGGGACCACCTGCCTAGAGAGACCCCCCCACCTTGAACAGCTCCAAGCAGCAGAAGCAAGTCCTGCTCAAGAGAAACATGTGGACGGAGAAGGAAAGAAGACAGATGCCATCCTTGGGGGGGGCATTAAGGAGAGAGGATCACGCAGTCCCTAATAGATGCAGACTCGTTGATTTCTGACCCTACCCCTACACGGGGGTGGCTTTTGCCCATGAAAATGCAGGGAAAGAGGGTGCAGGGGGGTGCAGAAGGGAAAGGACGGACGGAGACTGCCCCAAATTAAGGAAAAGCAGGGAAGATGCTCTCGGGAGAGAAACAAAAGACAAATAGGCTAGGCAGGAGCTGAGTTTTAGCAACCCCCCCCGCAAAGAAAGAAAACGAATTAACCAAAATAAGAATAGGAAGGGGGGGCTGCGACAGGGCCCGAAGAGCCAGCCCAGCCAGCCAGGGGCCTGTTCACCTGCCCACCCAGGCCAGGACCCCTCAGGGACGCGAGAAGGGCGGCAGGCCTGTGGACGGGGAGGATGGAGGCCAGGCGCGGGGAAGACCTGGCCTGGACGGATGGAGGCAGCCAGGCCGGCCTGCGGCCCAGCCGCGCCGCCTGAGGGGAGCGGGAAGGCGCGGGGGCGAAGCGACCTCCGGGGCCTGCGCTCACCCCTCCCTGCCGCCGCC